AATGTGGCTGATTGGTCTGTCTCCTGAACCAATCACTGTGACCGATTGACCTGGCCTGGTCACACCCACACACCCCTGAACCAATCAATGTGGCTCTGGCAGAGGGTGGGGTGAGGAGGGCTCCGTGTCAGTGTCCACTCTGCCCATCCACCCCACGTGGGGAGGAGCGCCCCCCAGAGGGAGGGAGGTGTGGGGGCTGCCGTCACCCAGCCCTTCTCTCTCCCAGCTGACCTGGCCGCCCTGCTCCCTGATCTCTCTGGGCGTCTCCTCATCAACTCTGTCTTCCACGTGGGTGCTGAGCGGCTCCAGCAGATGCTCTTCTCGGACTCGCCCTTCCTCCAGAGCTTCCTGCAGCAGTGCAAGTTCACAGGTCGGGGGGCGCATGGAGGAGACGCCAGGGACACCCCGGTGCAGGGGAGGGGGGAGGCAGGGTGAGCCCCGAGACAGGCAGGCCCTGCCGGGTGGTGTGGCAGGGTGGGGCGGATAAAAGCAGCAGCTGTGACACAGAAGTGGTTCTGTCTCTTACTAGCTGGGCAGGGCTCTGAGACTCTTTGTGCCTTAGTTTCTTCTTCTGTATAATGGGGGTGTGTTAACTACCTGCCTTGTTGGTTCTCGTGAGAATTAAGTGCATTAACACTACAAAAGTACCTAGAGCAGTAGCATACAGTAGGGATTTAATAATTGCAAGTTAATGGTGACGCATTTAGTGTCTACTTTGTCAGGGCTGTGCGGGGCTTGGAGGCCCCTGAGAGGCCAGGGGAGATGAACTCCCGTCCCCAGTGCCCAGACTCTAGTGGGAAACACAGGAAACAAATACACGAATAAATACCACACATCACAGGTGTGGCGTGAGTTAAGGGTGGGGCTGCGAGTCCGAAGGTGTCTGTAATCTGAGGAGTATCGGGGAAGGCTGCCAGGAAATCAAAACCTGGGCCTGAAGGAGGAACTGAGGAAGGTGGGAGGAGTGGGTGGGGGCAGAGGAACCCAGGAGGCGGGCATCGCACTGCAAAGGCCCTGGGGCTGGAGGCGGACCCTGGGGAAATCCTGCTGGGCTGGGCCACTGCAGCCAGGTATGAGAGGAGAGGCCCCTGCACCAGGTGTGGCTGAAGGGTGGATGGCCCCAGGCTGTAGGAGGGACCAGCTGAAGAGCTTGGGAGGCCAAGAAAGAGATTCAAGTAGGGGAGGGAGTAGTCAGACGGTATTATAGTTTTTCTTTATTTCTTTTTTCTGTTTTGCTGAAAACTAACCATATAGAGCCCCTTGCAGGATCAGTAAGAATAAGCCTTGTGTTGGGGGGATATAAGTCCCCCAAAACTATGCTTATATCCTAGAGGGACTGGCACATCAGGCTGAGGAATTCAGTCCTGGGGGGCCCTGGGGAGCCATAGAGTATTCTAGGCAGATAAGGGATAGAGTCAGGCTTGGATTTAATAAGATATCCCTGGACCAGGTGTGGAGACTGAGGCCAGTGCTCAGGGGCCGGCGGGGATGGGCTGAGCAGGAGCCGTGCTCGGGAGAGCTGGTGAACAGACAGTGCAGCTGGCAGACCCAGCGTGGGCACGTCCAGGGCAAGGCCCAGGGCTCCGGTGGGAGCCTGGAGGACACAGGGGCCAGCCCTGAGTTGGGGACCTGAGAGGAGTAGCCGGTTTTGGGGAGATGCTGAGGCCAGTGTGGGGCCCGGAGGGTATGCGGGATCCAGGCCACTGCCAGGGGAAGGCGTGCAGAAGATTGCGGGTCTGAAGCTCAGGGGAGAAGCCAGGACTGGTGCAGAGGGGGAAACTGAGGCTGGAGGAGTGGATGAGGTGGCCCTGGTGGGGTGAGAAATGTCCCGAGGAGAAGGGTCCCAGCTGTAAGTATCACCAGCCTCTGAAGTTAGAGGCTCCTGGAAGGAAGGTGGGGGTGATGGGTCCCCAGAGAATAGAAACCCCCAGCCCGTGGGCACAGGACGGGAGCGTGGTCTCCTCATTCTGCTCCTCCCTCCCCCAGACGTGACCTTGAGCCCCTGGAGCGGAGACAGCAAGTGCCACCAGCGTCGGGTGCTGACGTACACCATTCCCATCAACAACCCACTGGGCCCCAAGAGCGCCTCCGTGGTGGAGACGCAGGTGAGCCAGGTGGGCGGCCGGGCAGGTGGCACGGCGGGGGGCGGGGCCTGACCTCCTCCTCCCTGTCTCTGCAGACGCTGTTCCAGCGCGGCCCGCAGGCCGGCGGGTGCGTGGTGGACTCCGAGGTGCTGACGCAGGGCATCCCCTACCAGGACTACTTCTACACGGCCCACCGCTACTGCATCCTGGGCATTGCTCGGAACAAGGCCCGGCTCCGGTGAGCGGCGCCCAGGGTCCCTGCCCCACCCCCAAATCAACGGCAGAACGTTGGCTCCCACACTGGCAGAGGGACAGAAGTGTTGGGTCCCTGAACCCCTGTGCTCAGGATAGTAGAGGGCAGACAGAGGGTGACCCTGGGGACAACTCCTCCCATCTGCAGAGGGTGCAAAGACACCAGGATACAGCAAAACCAGACAAAATTCCCTCTCTCAGGGAGCTCACATTCTAGTGGGGGATTGGACAATAAAAAAATAATTATGGAAATCTGCAGAACGTTCCCTAGGGATAAGGGCTGTGGAGAAAAGCACGGTGGGGTGAAGAGTTGGGGGGCAGTGGGGAGTCTTACACTCAAGACGCTGGTCAGGGAAGGGGCCGCTGAGAAAGGAATTTCTCACCAAGAACCTGAAGAGGTGACAGAATTTGTTTGGCATAGCCAGTGCAAAGGCCCTGAGGCAGCTGTGTTGTGGGACAGCTGGAGTGGAGTGAGTGTGGGAAGAGTGGGCGGTGAGGTCACGGAGGTGAACCAGGGCTTATAAGGCCTTGTGGGTCCAGGTGAGGACTTTGCTGTTACCTGGAGCCAGGTGCAGCTCGGGCAGGGCTCAGAGCCAGGGGGGCCCTGACCTGACTCAGATGTTCTCAGGCTCCCTCTGGCTGCAGAGGGGGAGCAGACTGCGGGGACAGGGACAGAGCAGGAGACCAGGGAGGAGGCTGCTGGGGTGTCCAGGCAGGAAGGGATGGAGGCCGGGCCAGGCTGGGGGCAGTGGAGGGGAGAAGAGTTTAGATTCTGGAGGGATTTTAGAGGCGGAGCCGACAGGGTTTGCTGAGAGACGGGTGCAGGGGTGAGGGAAAGAGAGGAGCCCCGAGGTGTCTGGCCTGAGCCACTGGAAGAACTGAGCTGTCCCTGCCCGGGCTGGAGAGGGTGCGGGGGGCGGGCTTGGGCGAGGACTGGGCTGCGCTGTCCCTGAGAGCCCCGTGTGGAGTTGGGGTGCGCGAGTGGACACGGTGCTCAGGCAGTGGAGAGCTGCCAGGGAGGGGCGTGGAACGGGAAGGGGCCGAGGGCTGAGCTGGCCAGCACGTGGGGCCGGTGGGGGGTCCAGGGAAGCCCCTAGGCCCTCTCTGAATGCGGGGAAGGAAGGAACCTGCCTGGGGTCGGGGGGCCAGGGCTGCAGTCAGACCCTGTCCCTTTTCCTGTCCTCCCGACCCCAGAGTGTCCTCCGAGATCCGTTACCGAAAGCAGCCGTGGAGCCTCGTGAAGTCGCTCATCGAGAAGAACTCGTGGAGCGGCATCGAGGATTATTTCCACCACCTGGGTAGGGGACAGAAGGCCGGCCGGGGCGGGGTGGGTGGTGGCCCGGCTGGGCGCAGACATCCGGAGCCCGCTCCTCCTTCCCCAGAGCGAGAGCTCGCCAAGGCGGAGAAGCTGTCCCTGGAGGAAGGCGGGAAGGACGCCCGAGGGCTGCTGTCAGGCCTGCGGCGGCGGAAGCGGCCCCTGAGCTGGAGGGGTCACGGTGACGGGCCCCAGCACCCAGACCCTGACCCCTGCGCCCGGGCTGGCGTGCACACCTCAGGTGCGTCCCGGTCGGGGGGGCGGGGGAGCTGGGGCCGGCGACGGGGCGCCCGGGACGGGCTGTCTGACCTCACCTCTCTCCTGCAGGCGCCCTGGGCTCCCACTTCTCGGACTCGTCCTCGGACCAGGGCCTGGGGGCAGGCATCCCCAGCGCCCTGGTGCTCATCAGCGTTGTGTGAGTAACGGAGCAGGGCCAGGCTTTGGGTCAGACAGGCCTGGCTCTGCGTCCTCGCTGTGTGACTTTGGACAAGCGCTTGGCCTCTCTGGGTCTCTCTGCTTAAGTGGGAGCGTGGGCTCATCTCCCTGCAAGGATGGGACCAGACGATGTTTGGGGTGTGGCCGGCAGAGCCCCTTACACAGTGGAGATGCTCAGTTTGTCACGGAGAGGCCTGCCCCACTGCAGGAGCAGAGCCGGGGGGCTATGCGAGGGCAGGGAGGGCTTCCGGAAACGAGGTCCCGGGCTCCCAGCAGACCCCGGGAGGTGAGGGTCGGTCCGCCGCACGCTCCGCCTCTTGGGGCCTCAGCGGCCCAGCGCCGGTCCCGGGAGAGGGTGTATGGCAAGCTGGGCAGGGCGAGGAGGGGCAGGGCGGCCAGGGCAGGCTGGGCGGCTCATCTCTGTGTCTCCCCTCATTGCCGCGGCAGGATCTGTGTGAGGTAGGGTCCTGCGTCCTCCACCTGCTCTCCCCTCCCCAGCCCCACCCCTGCTGCAGCCTCTCCTCCCTGCCCCGTGCCGCGCCTCTCCCAGAGAGGTGGCCTGGCCTGGTGGTCCAGGGCCTGGGTTTGAACCCTGACTTTCTGCTGTGGGCTGTGTGACCCTAGGCATGTCTGTCACCCTCTCTGAGCCTCCGTTTCCTCCTCTGAGAAAGGGGTAGTCATGGTACCCCTTCAGGGTGTAGTTGTGCGGGGGGTTCAGAGCTCAGTGCCCGACTTGTGGGAGCACGTGTACCCCAGGACTCCTGACCCCTGACCCCTGTCCCCAGCCTCATCATCCTCATCGCCCTCAACGTCCTCCTCTTCTACCGCCTCTGGTCCCTGGAGAGGACGGCCCACTCCTTCGAGTCCTGGCACAGCCTGGCCCTGGCCAAGGGGTGAGTGGGGCGGCCGAGGGGCTGGGGGCTCGGGCAGGTCGGGGGAGGCCGAGGCCCCACCGGAGCCCTGCCTCCCGCAGCAAGTTCCCCCAGACGGCCGCGGAGTGGGCCGAGATCCTGGCCCTGCAGAAGCAGTTCCACAGCGTCGAGGTGCGCAAGTGGCGGCAGATCCTGCGCGCTTCTGTGGAGCTCCTGGACGAGGTGGGGGGGCTGGCGGGGCGGGGCGGGGATGCAGGGCTGCGCAGGGATGCGGGGCCACGCAGGGGTGCGGGGGGCAGGGCAGGGGTGCGGGCTGCGCAGGGGGGCGGGGGGCAGGGCAGGGGTGCAGGGCTGCGCAGGGGTGCGGGGGGGCAGGGGCAGGGGTGCGGGGCTGTTTCCCAGAGTCCCACCTCGCCGGGGCGCCGGGGGATCCGCAGGGTGGAGGAGAGAGTTCACCGGCTCACATGCTGGAAACAAGTCCAAGGCGTCTCGCTTCGGGCACGGCCAGGTCTGGCCCCGGAAGAGCGGCAGGAGTCAGTCTCTTGCGCTGTCTCGACTCTGCCCGTTCCAGCGTTGGCTTTACTTTTGGGGCATCCTGTGTGCGTGGATGACCGCGGGGCCACCTGCAGCTCCGGGCTGACAGCCACAGGGAAGGCCAGGCTTGGTGTCCCCATACCCCTTGCCCCCTTTTGGGGTGACTAAGGGGTCACGTGGTCTGAGAGCCAGGCGTTCTCCAAAGGATATTGGGGTCTCATCTCCAAAAGGGGTTGACCCAGACATCCCGGGTAGTTCGGGGGCAGCATCTGTGCAGACGACCAGGTTCAAATCCCGGCGTGTGACCCTGGGTGTGACTGTGCCTCCTCCTCTGCCCGTGGGATGCTACCTTGCGGCACCCGAAGGACTGTCGTGAGGATGAAGTGCGCAACCCTCGGAACAGTGCTGGGCACACAGCTCTGCCTGCGTGTGTGCTGTCCTGAGTGTGCGCCGGGCACCAGGCGCACAGTAGGTCCCGGCGGCGGTAATCGTGACAGCCGACGTGCACCGAGCACTCTGTGTTCATCAGACCCCTGCCACGATCCCGTGACGCAGATACGTTTCTGACCCATGTTTCGGATGGGGGACTGGGGCCCAGGACGGTTAAGTGATTGGCCCAGGGTTACCCAGAGAGCGGCAGAGCTGGGATTTGAACCCAGGGCGTCTGCGTCCCAGGTGCGCATGAAGTCCCTTCCTCTGCTGCCTCTGAGAAGTTAAACCGGGTGCAGTGTGACTCTGCTCTTCTCACCGAGTGACCCTTGCGGGGGACAGGGGCGTGAGCCTCACCCCTCACCCTGCCCCCCCTCCCTCCCTCCAGATGAAGTTCTCCCTGGAGAAGCTGCATCAAGGCATCACCGTCTCGGACCCTCCCTTCGATGCCCCGCCCCGGCCGGAGGACAGCTTCTCCTGAGGACGCCTGGCCCTGCAGCCGTCCTCTCAAATGGACAGACACACACAGCCACGGCGGCCACTGCTGGCACGGTGTGAGCGCCCGGCACCTCCGCCCGCCCCTCCCGGCGGCCCGACCAGGGACCGTGCAGACGGGACCACAGGACTGAGATGCACTTTAGACCAGGGAGCTGGCCTGGCCCTCGGCAGGCCCCCCACTAACTTATTTTGCCCGGCTGGGGTTGTGGGGGGGGCACCTCCTGGGGTGCACGATTCCCTCAGCTCTGGGTTTAATGTATTATATTTATCTGGGGCCGGCAGAGCCCCAATAAAGGGTTGGAAATCGCTGTGGCCGTGCCTGGGAGTGGGTGGGGCCTCCCGCTGTACTCGGATCCCGCCACGGTGGGGACGGGGGCCACAGGCACCGAAACGATCTGGCAATTCCTCAGCATCTCACACAGGCTTTGCGTCATCAGAGTCCAGAGCTGGAGCTCTCAGGACAGACGCTGGCGGCCTGGGTTCAAATCCTGCCTCTGCAGTCTGGAGCAGGTCAACCTCTTTGAGTTCAGTTTTCTTTTCTGTACCATGGGTGTAATTACAGCGCCTGTCTCTCGGGGTTGTTAGGAGCGAGTGGCTCTCAAACTTTAGCTGCATCAGAATCTCCTGGAGGGTTTCTTATAACACAGACAGCTGCCCCCACCCCCAAGAATTTCTGATCTGCAGGGGCAGGGCTGAGATTCTGCCTTTCTAACAAGTTCCCAAGTGATGTTGATGATGCCATCTGGGGACCCCACTCTGAGAACTGCTACTGTGAGTTCAAGGAGTTAATAAATGTGGCTGCTTATAACAGGACCTGGCACAGAGTAAGTATTCAGTAAATGCTACACTTACTACATAAACATTGAGAGGAAAACTAGTAACTCGTGTAGTGAGCACCAAATATGTACCAAGCTCTGTGCCAAGATCTGATGCGAATTTTATTCTCACAGTGACTTCACGAGGTGGAGACAAATAAAGATTTACGCGCCTGAGGGGAAGACCCCGGGCCTGGCCCCTGGGGTCTCCGCATTTAGATGCAAGGTCCTGACCCCCGGCAGGACCCCACAACAGCCCATGCAGGTTGAGGCCGCTTGGACCCCTGTTTTACAGAAGAGGAAATGGGCTTAGAGGAAGAATCTCTGGTCTAGGTGGAACCCACATCTGTCTCTCTGAAACCCAGTGCTGGGTCCACAGTGAGCAAGGGGTGAAGAGACCTTTGGCATGCCACACGCCTGGCTGTGGGAATCATCTTAACTGATGGCTTGGGGCAGGGGACTGGAGGGAGGGTTGGATAGAGACAGGTGGATCACGAGTGGCACAGGGCAGAGCTAGCTTCTCCTGCCCTCCAGCCGTGTGATCATGGCAACTTACCCTCCACGAGCCTCAGTTTCCCGTGCCTGTAACACGGGCATAATGATAATATCCATCTCGTAGGAAGAATTAAATGAGTTAATATGAGTAGAGTGCTTGGAACAGCACTGGGCCCATAGAAGGTGCTCCGCGAACATCAGCTTTTGGGCCGTTAGGAGGTGCCTCCTGCCAGGGCTGAGGCCTGTGCTCACCAAGCCTCCACCCACCATCCCCCACCAGGAAGGGCCCGGAACAGCGAGAGGGTTATTTTCTGCAGGGGAATTTCACAGCTCCGGAGGTGCTGGCACAGAGGCCTGGACCACAAAGATGTTCGGTGTCCCTGGCTCCCTGCCCCTCTGCCCTGGGCTTGCCTCACACCCTGGTTCCTCCTGCCCAGCAGGGCTGGACTAGGGGGACTCTAGGACTTTATCCCACCCAGAACTGAAGGGTAGGACGGGGCTGTGACCCCCAGGCATAGGTCACTCCCACCCCTCCTCTCTCCATCCCGTAGGACAGGCTGCCCACCGTTGCTGGGGCAGGATTTCAGATCCACCTTAGGCCAGTGGCACGACCCTGAGCAAGGGAGTGGTCCTCTCCCGGCCTCAGTTTCCTCATCCGTAAAACAGGGATAATAGAATTTGCCGTAAAGGTTTCGAAGGTGGAAGTGGGTTCAGTGAATCACAAGGGCTTGATAACCACTGACGTTTATTTATTCATTCATTTGACAAATATTTATCGCTTACCTACAGTGTGCCAGGCACGGGTCGAGCTGCTAGAGACAGTGGTACGCAGGCCGGTGTCCTCACCCTGGGGGATCTTACATTCCAGGGTTGGAGGGACAGGAAATGCACAGACTGTGTAAAGGAAAAACATTATGTCAGGTAGTGACACTGCTGTCAAAAAAACTAAACAAGAGTAAAGGAGGTCAAGCGAGGTGTGGGGGAGGCAGTGTGCCCTGAATGAACACAGGGGACCTGACGATGGCGACCCTGGAGTCAAGGCTGCAGGAGGCAGAAGGGTGGTTCAGAGGGAAGAGCAGGGGCCAAGGCCCTGAGGCAGGGACGAGCTCCTTGTGCTGGGAGCTGCTGGGGGCCCGGGTAGCCAGAGTGGAGCGGGAGGAGAGAGGTAGGAGGTGACGTCAGAGTCATAAAGGGGTGCTGGGGGAATCACGAAGGGGGGCTCCCCTTAAACAGCACCTCCAAGCTCCCAGAGCAGCCTCTCTGGCTCGGACTGCAGGGTGCCCCACCTGCTTGGGTGGGGTCTGGGGTATGCCGGTAGCCCTAACCTGAACCCCCTCCCATGCCTGCTTGGGTCCCCGCGCGGTGACCCCCAGGCCTGGATATCGGGGATTGGAGCGGGATGTCACTTGGAGGTCCCGGCCAAGCCTCCCTCAAACTGGCGAAGATCACCTCCATGAGCCGAAGTCGGAAGCCCGGCCCCCAAACTGCCCTCTAAGTCTTCCTGCGACTCTGGGGGTGACCTTTCCCAGACTCCGAAGACGGGGTCGCCAGAGCGCGGCGGGGTCGGAGACACCCAGTCCGCGCGCCCGTGCCCAGGAGCCGCGGTCCCTGCGCCGCCCCAGAGGCCGGCGCCGCTGCGGCAAAGGCTGGGCGGCCGCGCCCTCCCCCCGCGGTGATTCATCCCGCCCCCTCCCTCTGCTGCCTCCTCCCTCCCGGGCCGCCGCCGCCGCCGCCGCCGCCGCCGCTGCAGTGCGCAGGAGACCGCGGTCCGCGCCCGAGCGCGCAGCCCGAGCCGGGCCGGGGTCGGCGCACCTGGCGGATGCGCCCGGCCGCGCGCGCCTGCGCCCCAGCCCCAGCAGCGGCCGCCGCCCGCGCGGCGGGGATGCCCGGACGCCGGGCCCCGGGGCTGGGCCCCCGGCGGTAACCGGAGCGGGGGGGCCGCGCCCCCCCTCCTCCCCCCTCGCCGGTCCCAGAGCCGCAGCTGCCGCGCCCGCGCGCTCCCGGGGACGTTCTGCCCGCCGCCGGGCCCGCCGCCTCTCGCCCGCTCCTCGCACCGGCGGCCGGCCATGGGGACGCTGCTGGCCTTCGTGGTCGGCGCGGCACTGGGTGAGTGCGCGGGGGGCGCGCGCGGGGCGGCGGGATTCGCGCTCGGGACTCCGCGCGGCGGCGCCAGGGCAGCCCCCGGCCCAGCCCCGGCCCCGCCAAGTCGGCTCCCGGAGTTGCGCGCGCGGGAGCCGGGCCACGGGGGGCGGCGGAGGTGCGGGGGGCACGCGCGGGCGGGGCCGGGCCTCCAGGCTGCGGGCGCCCGGCCGGGGGCGAGGAAACGCGGAGTCAGCTGCTCCGGGAGTCCCGCAGGCTGCAATGTGACACCCACAGCCGCGGACGGGGGTGGGGGAAGGCGGCGCCCGGCGACGGGGACGGGAGAGCTGAGATACCCGGAGAGATGGGGACGGGAGGGAGGCGGCGGGGGACAGAGAAGGACTCGGTGCCCCTGAGTGCTCCGCTGGGCGACTGGGGACACGGGGGAAAGTGGGAAGCAGGACAGAGAGGGAATGCGAGAGGGACAGGGAGAGTGTCACAAGTCCGAGCGGTGGAGACAGAGAAACTTGGGAGAGGCAAAGGAGATGGAGAGGTGACGGGGAGACGAGCCGCGGGGGAGCCGGCGAGAGAATGTGGATGGAGTTTAAAGAGGGAGAGACGCGGAGAGACGGGGAGAGACACTACAGAGCGTGCGAGCCTGGAGAGGGGACACGAGTGGAGGGACCTTCAGAGAAACCCCAAAGAGGGATACGGTTGGGGGAGACCAAGACAGAGGTGCCTGGAGAGACCGAAAGAGACAGGAGCGGGCGGTGGCAGACGGAAGTCCTGAGGATTAAGCCACGGAGAGATTGGGGACAAGGAAAAGACCCAGAGCTGGAGCCGAAGAGACAGCGTATTAGCTAGTGAGCCCTGGGAGACAGGAAGGAGCTGGCAGGTACCGGTGGGATTGGATCCCGTGGGGATGCAAAGGTCCTGAGGCAGGAAAGAGCTCAGGAGAGAGTTTCGAGAAGCTGATGGGGGAGGGTGTGGAGGTGACTGGAGCCTGGGGAGTAGGGGACACAGGCAGGAGAAGTTGGAAGGGGGCGGATCGTGCAGGGGCTGTGGGACTGGGGTGCAGGGCTGGGGTGTGGGTCTCCCTGACTCCAGTGCCCACCGAACCACCCATCCCCAGGCCTCCCTTTCCCCCAACCCATGTCACGTGGGGCTGGCTGGTTTTGAAGACCCACTTAGTGGTGGAAATCACTCTACCACCGTGAACTGCTGACACAGCTGGGATTCTAGTCCCACCACCTAGGTGCTCTGGTAACTTGGGCAGGTGACTTTCTGAGGAGTCAGCGGGGTACTTGGGTAGAAAGACTCTGGCGTAACTGACAACACCGACAGCCTGTGTATGGGCACCTCTTGTGTGCCGGGGCCTGACTTAGGGAGTCTGCCCAGCCACCGCCGGAAGCAAAGATGATCATTTCTTTCACCTAACACAGAGAGGGAAACTGAGACTCGCAGAAGATGCGGGACTTGGCAAGGTCGTGCGGCGAGTGGCGGGGCCCAGCTTGGCGCCCAGTTCTGGGCACGCATAATCGTTATTGAGGGGAAACAGATGGTTTTCGAGGGACCCGAAAGCCAACAGCCAGGGAGCCTGGCGTTGCCTGGGGTGACGGGCGCCTCTGCTCGACCTGAGCCTGCTGTCCCCGCAGTGACCTCGGCCCGGGGGGGCTGCGTGGAGGTGGACTCGGAAACCGAGGCCGTGTACGGGATGACCTTCAAAATTCTGTGCATCTCCTGCAAGCGCCGCAGCGAGACCACCGCTGAGACCTTCACCGAGTGGACCTTCCGCCAGAAGGGCACCGAGGAGTTTGTGAAGGTGTGTGGGCGCCTGGCGCGTGCGGGGGGTGGCGGGCCTGGGTCTCGGGGTGGGGGGTATTTGTTTGTTTTTAATAACGTGCTGTGATTGATAACCT